GTATATATATATATATAATTAGTAAGTAAATAAATATAAATAAATAAATGCCTTTTTTAAGGGCTTGAAAGCCATTGGATGTTTTTTCAGCAAACTGATTAAGCAGGGGGCAGAGTGACTTACCTGTTAAAAAAATATTGATAGCTAATATATAATATATTAAAATCTGCACCAGTTATTGAACTAAATTTATTGCCACTACATCTTCCAGGACTATGAGGACCACCGCTCATCACTATCAATATCCTTATTGTTGAATCATATTTCAAGTTATTTTTTTATTTCTCCAAGACACTCTGCCAGATTCCTAAAAATATAGTCCATTTTTGTCTTTGAGCATATTAATAAAATCTGGCTTTCCCGTCTGCACACTTGATCTGGGATGACTTCATATCTGGACATGGAGCTGTGTAATTTGTGGATGGTGGATGGGGGCCAGAGTCTCGGTCTCCTCCGCAGTGTGGGAACGCTCATCTGAAGCTGGTTCTGGATGTCCGCGCTGCCTCCACATGTCTCAGATGTCTGAGCGTGTGCGATGCTGGGGAGGAAAACTCGACTGCAGGACCTCAGAGCGATTCAAAAGAGATATCACCACCTACACGACCGCGGCCACAGGGACTTCCTGTCTCTGCCGCGTGCGTGAGCGGCACTTCCAAACGTGGAGGAAACCGATTGCAAAAGCCATTTATTTTCCCAGCCGTTCAATTATAAGCTTTATGCCACAAGATGGGGCGTGAAAAACATGCACTGCATTGTCTAGAAGAGAAATACCAGTTGCATTTGCATAATTTGAGCAGCCTATAATGAGATGCTTGGAGTCAAAGGACTTTAATCATGTTAATAAGAGTAACCAGACAAGACCTGCTCATTTCAATGATGGCCACACTTTCCTGTTGCTAGAATACGGAATTTGTCTGAATAGAATAGAATAGAATAGAATAGAATAGAATCGGTAAGCGACATGTTTTGGAATAGCACACATACCATCTGTCAGATATCAGTGAAATATTACAGGTGTCATGAGAATCACACCTGTATCTGTGACACAACTATGCAAACAGCACACACACACACACACACACACACACACTCTCTCAAGGGAGCAGTTAGGAAACTAGCCAATCAGAAAGGCTTTCTGCCTGTCAATCATTTCTCTGGAGTTATTCATTTCTGAGAATCAGTTCGAACAGTCTGTTTCAAAGAATCCATTTAAAACACTGATTTGTTTGTTAAAGTATTTTAAAATAGATATCAAACTGGTTAATTTAATTTATAATAAATAAAAGTATTTAAACACATGACCATTCAAAAGTTTGGTCTGTATATTTTTGGGTAGGGGGACATTAAAAGACATGACAAATAAACCTTCAAATATTATAATTCTTTGAGTACACTTATTTATAAAAAGATATAATGCATTGCAACGTACATTATGAATACCTTTATAATGCATGCAGCATTATATTTAAAAACTTTAACGTTTTACCAAGTTTTTATGTTTTTGATAGAAGTCATAGAGAAATACAGTAAAAACTGTAATATTTTGAATTATTTCAATTAAAAAATAAAAAATAAATCAATTTGAATATGTAATTTATTCCTGTGATCAAAGCTGAATTTTCAACATCATTTCTCCAGTCTTCAGTGTCACATGATCCTTCAGAAATCATTCTAATATACTGATTTGCTGCTCAAAAAATATTTCTGATTATTATCCATGATGAAAATTGTGATAATTTTTTCAGGGTTCTTTGATGAATAGATCAATAATGAATAGTTCAAAAGAACAGTATTTATTCTATTTTAAATAAATACTAAAATAAAGAAAAGTCTTACAGAGGCACAAACTTTTTAATGGTAGTACTGTATACCAAAAAGACTTCCGCTATAGACAGAATATCACATAACCAATAATGTATTACGATATGATCTTAACAGCTATATCACCAAGCCTAGTTGTGAAACGTTCTCATCATTTTTGCCTCAATCAATCATAGCGCGCTTTTATAACAAACAGCCAATGATATGCCATCATTGCAGTGCATAGTGTGAATAAATGTTTGTGCTCATAGATGTCAAGTAGAGAGAAGTCAAGTCTTAAAGACTGAATGAGAATCTGAGGTGCAGCATATTGACATTTCCTGACTCTATAATGGTCAATGGTTCATTTTAATGGTCAAATCCCTATTTTATACGTGTCCACATAAACGCTCTCATAAAAGACAGACGATTTGAAAACTGCTGGTTGGAATCTACAATAGGTAGTAATTATTAACACCCTGAAATTGTCCTTTCTAATCATTAAGTCAGCCAGAATGACTCTGAACTAATAACCTAAACGATCTAACAGTCTAGAAATTCAGCCAAATGGAAAACATTTCCCTTTGAGATTAAAACAGCATGTAAAACATTTTTATTGAAGGCAGGCAGTAACGAAGGCAACACACATAGTTAACAAGGCAGCGGACTAAACCACACCGAGCAGATATCCACGGGATCTTGCTCGCACAGTGGACATTGTGCATGTGGTTCTCATTTATGGCTGCTGGTTAAATGAGCACCATCAGTAGCTGTAAAGTGCAGTAAAAATGGAACAGCAGAAGAATATTATTTAATTCTTGTCCATGATTTTTTGTTGCATGCCTTCATTTTTAAAGTCTTTGTTAATTTAATAAAGACTAGTCTATAAGTTTAGAATGGTAATATACATAAGTATGTGTAT